AAAAAAAAAAAAAAGGTTGAGAAGTTAGAGGGTTGATACGTTGTGGGATTGTTAACCAATGTCATAAGACAACATGTGTACTTCTGTTTCATGAGAAACTATTTGTTCCATAAGCCTTCACCTGAAATACAATTTAAAAAAAATAAAAATAGGAAATAAATTCCAGAAGAGCAAACAAACAAAAAAAAACCTTAAATAAAAGAGCCCTAGCAGCAATAAAGGAGCCCTGGTGGCACAGTGGTTAAAGCACTCGGCTGCGAACAAAAAGATGGTAGTTGGAACCCACGAGCCACTCCACAGAAGAAAGATGTGGCGGTCTGCTTCTGGGAAGATTACAGCCTGGGAAACCCTATGGGGCAGTTCTACTCTGTCCTACAGGGTCAGTATGAGTCGGAATCGACTTGACAGCAGTGGCTTTGGTTTTTTGTTTTTTTTAGCAACAATAAGGAAAGAAATCCTGTAAATTTACAAAAATCTTGTTAACTATGTTAAAGAAAAATCCCATTTTGACTGTTCAGTTCAATCTAGTATACTCACTCTAGCTTACAATTATAAAAGGTTCAGCTATAGAAGCCTATGAGAGAGAAACCAAAATGTTAGGTCATGCTTAGATGGCAGAGCTATGAGTGAGTTCCCCCACCTCTTACTTTTTAAGATCACAGACAGACTCTGGGAGTTAGAGACCTGATCTTGACTTGAGTATCCATAATTTACTGGTTGTGAAACTTCAGAAAATTTACTTAACCTCCCTGAGCCTTAGTTTTCTTACAAGTAAAATGAGGCTAATAATACCTCAGTAGTTTGTTTTGGGGTTTTAATGAATAATGTATAAGTAGTGGAGTGCCTAGCGGGTAGTAAACCCTCAATAAAAGTTAGCATTGTTATTGTTAGTGAACACTCGACCCTTTATTTGCCTGCCCCTCATCTCTCTCTCTCTCTCTTTTTTTTGGTGGGGCACCCTGTCTTGTTCTGGAGAAGTTAACCCACTCTTCTCTTGGTATGAGGATCATCCCCATGACTTTGGGTGGAGTTATATGCAAAACTGTGCCATCTTTTCTTTGACATCACTAGTTCCAAAAATCATACAAACCTAGAGGTTTCAGTCGCCATCTTTGGAATCACAAAAGTAGAGGCTACCTCGAAATGAAGTTAACTCAGAGGAAAACAATTGAAGTAAAGAGACACTAAGCCCTAAGACAACACTGAAGCATCTCTAGAGCCAGATCCACATTGAAACTTCTCTATCAAGTGAACCAAGAAATTCCTTTGCTCAAATCAATTTTAGTTAGGTTTATGTCACTTATAATCCAAAAATGCTGATTAGTAAATGAGCTAATCATAAAAAAAATCTACACCTGTTACCATCGAGTGACCCTATGGCACACAGTAGAACTGCCCCACAGGGTTTCCAAGGAGCGGCTGGTGGGTTCGAACTGTTGACCTTTTGGTTAGCAGCCAAGCTGTTAAACATCTAGAACAATGTAAATCAGCTAATATACTATTTCTTTTTCTCTACTTTCTAAATTTTCTAGTTAGCAGGTCATATTCTGCATTGTTTTAATGACTTATTTTCCCATTATATAAACTTTATCATTTTCCATTTTTAACCATGTAGATTATTTCAAAGTTCTTTTCACACTGTTCTGTAGGTTTATTACCTATGTGCATTTCATTCGTTTTCATGCTCACTCTTAAGTTTTGCCAGTATGCTTGCTGAATGCTTTGATTATCCAGTTTAGAACTTGACTTGCAGACAGCTTGGCTGAAACCTCATGAGATGCCCTGAGCCAGCATCCACCAGCTAGGTCTCTCCCAGGTTCCTGACCCTCAGACACCATGGGAGGTAATGAATGTTTTCCATCTGTAAGCTGCTACATTTGGGGGTAATTTGTTACACAGCAATAGATAATTAATGCAATCTTTTTTCATAAGTTTTGCCTCTAACCAATGGACACAATCGATTTTTTTTAATTAAGTCTTTTTTTTTAACTGTACTTTAGATGTAGGTTTACAGAGTAAACTAGCTTATCATTAAACAATTAATACACACGTTGTTTTGTGACATGGGTTGCCATCCCCACGATGTGTCAACACTCTCCCCTTTCGGATCTGTCTTCTTGTCCTTGCCCCTGGGCTGGTGTGAATGTTTAGTCTCGTTTTGTTTTATGGGCCTGGACATGATCCATTTTTAAGCTGAAAACTTTCTCTACATAAAGACTTCTTTCTTCTTTATTTCTTTGATTATGTTGTTGGGTTTTGGGGGGGTTGTTTTTTGTTTGTATTTTTGCTGTTTTTTCTCTTCAAAAACAGCTGTTATTCAAGGAATTTGGATCTCCAAGGCATGTTATCCAAATTTCAGCTTATCATTTTTAATCTATTACCCTTCCAAGCTATTTTTGAACCATTTCTCAAATTTATCCTTTACTCAGAATCAACTCGACAGCAATGAGTATATGAATTCAGTTTTCCATGGTTTCAAGTTCGCCATTTGCTGCCCCCAACCCAGTGGTATCTTTCAGCTGTTATATTTAACTTTATTAAAGTCTTTTCTTGTCCTAGGTTCTTAACATATTTTTTCATAAGAGCTCACTCTTGCTTCTCAGAGGAAATGTCCTTGTATATTTTTGAACAAATGGGGCAGATATTTCTAAAATTGTCCTCTGTTTTTTATAGTAAATCTATTTCAGACGCAGGCAAATTCCCTGAATCATCAGGGCAGAATAGCAGAGTCATTAAGATTCTGGCTTCTGGAATCATTTTGCCTGGATCCAAATTCTCGCTTTCTCATTTATTAGTTCTGTGACCTTGGATATGATTCTTAAACTCTCTGTGCTACCTGAAAAATAGGAGTAAAAGTAGTACCTGTCTCATTGAGTTTCCAACCTACAACATGCAAAGTGCTTCAAACCACTTCAGTACATAGTATGGGCTCAAAAAATGTTGGTAGTTAGTATCAGGACAATGGTCCGTTTAACTTCTGTGGCAGAATCTTTTCATACCACCCCACCCACCTTCGACTAGATTTTTCTCTGCTTACTTATTTTCTCACAGGCTTGGTATAGAAGGAAAATCAAAATGCAGAGCTCATCCTGAGCTCAGCAACACACTAGTGTGAGGCCTTCCCCTAATATTTAATAAAAGCTAAGGTTGGGTCTCTCCCAGCTTGAGACTAAGGTTTGGTGTTGTTTTTAGGTATCGTCAAAGTGATCTTCGACTCATACCGACCCTGTGTGACTCAGTGGCACCTAACAACAACAAGAAGTGATGTGTAGAATAAATTAACCCTTGGTGAAATAATATGTGCCATGAATATGGAGAAAAAACCTGTTCTAACTATCCAAACCCATTGCCATTGATTCCAACCCGTAGTGACCCTATAGGACAGAGTAGAACTGCCCCATAGCGTTTCCAAGGCTGTAATCTTTACAGAAGCAGACTGCTATGTCTTTCTCCCGTGGAGCGGCTGGTAGGTTTGAACCACTGGTGTTCCAGATGTACTACTTAGGATATTTAAATCATTTTATGGTCCTTTCTGGGGGGGAAAAATGGCCAAATGCAACATCAGTATAGAATAGATGCTCTTAGTACTCAACAGAGACAACTATAACTCTGAAACAGGATTAAAAAAAATTAATTCCTTCAGTAAAAACTATTTCTAAGATATAGTTCTGAAATTTTGGGTGCTAGTGACTCTGATTCTGTAGCAAGTGGGGAGAATATCACCTTATGCTGGAAAATTTTTTTTATTTTTAAGTTTAAATTTTTAAAATATTCATGCATGGTTATAACAGATGTTTATTAGATACAAATGTTTATTGGATATATTCTGTGTCAGCGGCCCCTACATTATTAATTGCCTCATCTATACTCCCATCAGCATCCCCACAAAATACCAGTACAGCTGCTATCGAGTAGTTCCTGTGTACTTCATAGTAGAACTGCACCATAGCGTTTTTTAAAGTTTGTGACCTTTTGGGAAGCAGATCTCCAGGTCTTTCTGACTGTATTGGAACCACCAGCATTTCAGTTAGCAACCAAGTGCTTAATCATTTGTACTACCCAGAGACTCCTCAAAATATCATTGCTGTTGTTAGGCGCCATTGAGTCAGTTCCAATCACAGCGACCTTATGTACAACAGAACAAAACACAGCCCAGTCCTGCACCTTCCTCACAATTGTTGTTATGTTTGAGCCTATTATTGCAGCCACTGTGTCAATCCATCTCGTCAAGGGTCTTCCCTCTTTTTCACTGACTCTCTACACAATACCAATACTCCCCCTCCTTTTAGTATTTCTTCCCCCGTTCCCTTCCTTCCAAGCCACTCTTAACCTCTCAGTATGACGCTGTGAGTTCAGAAGAGATGAAACATTCAGCACGTTTCCCAGTCTGTCTTCCACACCTGTCCCTCACTCACATCAGGGCTTTCTCAGAATCACCTACCAGGAAACGGTGACACATTCTGCCGGCAATGACAGGAAGGGAAGGGTTGCTATCAGACAGACAATAGAGACTGATGTATGTAAACTCCTTAGCAAAGTGCCTGACCCACGATATGCACTTAACTAACGTTGCTGTTCTTATTACTAGTCTTACTTCCGGACTAATGTTCTGACCAGTGGGGAAAACTCACCTCCTTCCGTCCTTTTGGCTCGTCTCTTAATGAGTGAAAACTCCCAGAGGACCTTTTTCAGACGAGAAGCTGTGGCAGAGCAGCTCAAAAGTAAAGGCAATGCAGCTGTGGATCAAACCAAGGGGACAGAAGGGAAGAAGGGTGACTTTGTACAAAAGAAGATGAGATCAACGACACAGCCTATCCCCTCTTTTCTCCCTGGCCTTTCTGCCTAAAAGAAAAAAAACAGTTTCTGTAATTGTCTAAAGTAGCTGAACTTTAATTCACTTAGGGACCCCAGTGTGCAATAAACTAAAAGAAAAGCAGACGAATAGTTCAAACTCAAATTTGGACCCCATCTAAACTTGCTGACAAACAGAGTCTGTCTCCAGATTTTCAAATCTCAGAAAATTTGCACCTCCCTTGGGATATTCAATAAATTAACTTTTCCATGCCAATTGCTGGTAGAAGACATTCTTGCCTGTCCTCCCAATTTTCACCAGAGTCAACCAGCAGGACCTAAGCTGGTCCCAGTGCCTAAGCATTTGGACTTCAGTAAACTAGGGAGCACTCAGGCACACAATGACAATCTTTCCCCTCAGATGGAGGAGACTGATAGCAATTACCACACCCTCTGTTACTTCGAACCTACCTAAACCTCCCAGATTTAGACTGGCTTAATTGTCAATGATTTCTTTTACCAGGAATATTTATTTGCCATTGCTGCATTAGAAGTCCCTGGTGGTGCAAATGGTTAACGCACTCAGCTACTAATCAAAAGGTTGGAGGTTCAGGTCCAATCAGAGATGCTTTGGAAGAAAGGTCTGGCGATCCAAGTCCAAAAAAATCAGAAAACCCTATAGAGCACAGTTTTACTCTGACACACATGAGGTCACCATAAGTCAGAATCAACTCGATGGCAACTGATTTTTTTATTGCTGCATAATAACCACCCCAAAACTCAGTGACTCAAAACAATAATCATTTATTAGCCCTCATGTGCCCGTGAGTCAGCTGGGGTTCAGCTGATCCAAGCTGGTCTGCTTCTCACTTTACTTCAGGCTGAGGCTGCTGGGGCAGCTGTGCCCCTTAAGTTTCCTTTCCTCTTCCTGGAACCAGTGGGCTAGCCTGGGCATATTTTTCTCATGGCGAAGGCACAGTCACCACGGCACAAGGCCCTTTTAAGCACCTACCTGTGGCTCACCAACTAATATCGCATTAGACAAAGTAAACCACATGGCCAAGCCCAATGTCAAGAGATGGGGAAATACATTCTGCCCTTAGAGGAACTGCAAAGTCTCATGGAAAGGGTGTGAATACAGGGAAGGATGAAGAACTGAAGCTGCTAGTGGAATCTCTTGGTCATCATTGTTCCCATTCCTCCCACGTGCAAAATATGCTCACCCTCATCCCAACTTTCCACACACAGGAAACAGGCTGAGAAATTTGTTAAGCCACCAAAAAGGGCATATTTTCCAATGTTCTTTTCGAAAGTGTCCAAGAAAGATGATGGAGAAAGGAATGATGTTATACAGGGCCAACCCATGAGCCATGGAGAACATGGATGAGGAGCTATAAGGAAGCAGAACAGACCTAATCAAGGAACATTCTCTACCCCTAGAGCAGGCAAACCGGGCAACATTTGATCTGAACGATTTCAATTTTTCAACCAGTGACTTCTATGTAGCTACAATTCTTTCCCATTTCAAAAGGAAACATGCATTGCAGTTATCCTGTTTGACCATTGTCTCTTGGCAACGGGTTTGGTTTTAAATTTTTAAACCAGTGCAATGAATGTATTGCCCATTCAAAAATAATTTAAATAAAACGGTAATAAATGAATAATAGAACACATATTTTGAAGCACCCACAAAACAACGTGTACCATCATGAGTGCATATGTATGAGAAGAAAGGCATGGAAGCTGGACACATTCAATATACCATCATGGGTGCCTATGAGGGCAGGGGAGTGGGACCTGAGATGGAGGATAAAAGGAACCAAAGAGGATACGGTGCCACAAACAAAGAGGTTTAATGGACAATACTAATCCTTTGAACCTGAGAGCTTAAACATAAAGTATTGAAGCATTCTTTCATAGGCAAACATGAAATCTTCTTAAAGTCCCAAACCTACATCTCTGGCATGTGGTGACATACAATGACAGAGGTCCATGCCCTTCTTGGCACAAAATGAGAAATGTAGTATTCTTGGTCTAAAGATAGTGACAGTGATGTGTGGGCGGTTATAACCCAGCAAATCAGCCACAGGGATTAGAAGGCGTTATAAACTGTGTAACTCCCAATGTAGGCGCTTAGTCAGGAAGACACTGTTCAGTGGAGGGCAGAGAGTCACAGAGCAAGAAGACAGGGGTCACAGAAGGCCTTCCCTCTTTCTTCCTTAATCCCTCTGGGAGAGTTAGCCGGAGGGCAGACATGCCCCATCAAGTCTAGGTGCCTCTGCTCTTCCCCAGGCACGATCACAGTCCATGCAGCCCCAGGGGTGACATTGCAGTCCTGGCTGTCCTATGACTTTCCACCTCCTTCACAAAATCCCGGAGCCTAGCAACCCATTTTCCAGATCCATCCTGGGCAGGCCAACCTTTCCCTATTTAACTCATAGAAATGCCCACCCCCAGAACTGCTAAGTAAAAATACACTATTCGTAGAAAACGGATTACACAAGGGGCTTAACCCCTTCCAAGGGAGCCCAGGTGTACAACTGTCACCTCTAAGCTGGGAAAGTTCTTAGGGACTGGCAGAGCCTGACTCCAACAACAGCAGAAGAGAAAAGAGGCAGGACATAGCATGGGGTTTGAATCTGCTGGGGAAGAGCACTGAATGGTAATGCCCACTGGAGCATTCTTTGTAATAACAACAACAAAAAAAAACCATTGCATAAAGCATGATACAGCCATACAAAATAATTGAAAAGCAGATGTTTAAAAGGGTGAGTTCGGTCTATGTATAAAAAACCAAACCCATTACCATCAAAGTCAAATCCGACTCCTAGCAACCCTATAAGATAGAGTAGAACTGCCACATAGGGTTTCTAAGGCTGTAATCTTTTCAGGGGCAGACTGTCATATCCCAATACTAAGACCAACAGAATTCTTTAATGAGATGAAAAAACTAATCACCAGCTTCATATGGAAAGGAAAGAGGCCCCGGAAAAGCAAAACGTTATTGAAGAAAAAGAACAAAGTAGGAGGCCTCACACTACCGGATCTCAGAACCTCCTATACAGCCACAGTAGTCAAAACAACAACAGACATGTAGACCAATGGAATGAAATCGAGAACCCAGATGTAAATGCATCCACCTACAGTCATCTGATCTTTGACAAAGGAGCAAAGTTCATTAAATAGGGAAAAGATAGTCTTTTTAACAAATGGTATTGGTAAAACTGGATGTCCATCAGCAAAAAAATGAAACAGGACCCATACCTCACACCATACACAAAAACTAACTCAAAATGGATTGAAGACCTAAATATAAAACTTAAAATGATAAAGATCATGGAAGAAAAAATAGGGACAATGCTAGGGAGCCTAATACATGTCATAAAAAGGATACAAACCATAACCAACAATACACAAACACCAGAAGATAAACTAGATAACTGGGAGCCCCTAAAAATTAAACACATACACTCAGCAAAAGACTTCACCAAAAGAGTAAAAAGAGAACCTACAGACTGGGAAAAATTTTTTGACTATGACATATCTTTCAAGGGTCTAATCTCTAAACTCTATAGAACATTTCAACACCTCAACAACAAAAAGACAAATAATCCAATTAAAAAACAGGCAAAGGATATGAACAGACACTTCACCAAAGAAGACATTCAGGCCACTAACAGACACATAAGGAAATGCTTGAGATCATTAGCCATTAGAGAAATGCAAATCGAAACTGCAGTGAGATACCATCTCTCCTGACATTACTGGCACGAATCAAAAAAAGAGAAAATAATAAATGTTGGAGAGATTGTGGGGAGCTTGGAACTCTTATATGCTGCTAGTGGGAATGTAAAATGGTACGACCACTATGGAAATGATATGGTGACTCTTCAAAAAGCTAGAAATAGAAATGTCATATGATTCAGCAATTCCACTCCTCGGAATATATCCTAGAGAAATAAGAGCCATCACACGAATAGACATATGCACACCCATGTTCATTGCAGCATTATTCACAATAGCAAAAAGATGGAAACAGCCTAAGTGCCCATCAACAGGTCAATGGATAACAAATTATGGTACATACACACAATGGAATACTACAGAATGATAAAGAACAAATGATGAATCCTGGAAATGTCTCACAACATGGATGAATCTGGAAGGCATTATGCTGAGTGAAATAAGTTAATCACAAAAGGACAAATACTGTATAAGACCACTATTATAAAAACCCAAGAAAAGGTTTACACACACACAGAAAAAAAAGAATCTTTGATTGTTACGAGGGAGGGAAGGGTGGGGAGAGAAAATCACTAACTAGATAGTAGGTAAGTATTGACTTTGGTGAAGGGAAAGACAACACACAATACAGGGGAAGTCAGCACAATTTGACCAAAGGAAAATGATAGAAGCTTCCTAGCCACATTCAAATACCTTGAGGGACCAAGTTACTGAGGCAGAGGGCTGGGGACCATGGTCTCGTGGGACATCTAGGTCAATTGGAATAACACAGTTCATAAAGAATATCTTCTACATTCTAGTTTGGTGAGTAGCATATGGAGTCTTAAAAGCCACGAGCGGCCGTCTGAGATACACCTATTAGTCCCACTCTGTCTGGAGCAAAGGAGAATGAAGAAAACCAAAGACACAAGGAAAATATTAGTCCAAAGGACTACTGGACCACATAATCCACAGCTTCCACCATCCTGAGCCCAGAAGAACTAGATGGTGCCTGGCTACCACCACCGATTGCTCTGACAGGGATCACAATAGAGGTCCCGGGCAGAGCAGGAGAAAAATGTAGAAAAAAATTCAAATTCACCAAAAAAAAAAAAAAAAAAACAGACTTATTGATCTGACAGACACCGGAGGAAGCCCAAGACTATGGCTCCCAGACAACCTGCCAACTCAGAACTGAAGCCACTCCCGAAATCCACCTTTCAGCCAAAGATTAGACAGGTCTAT